GCTCAGTCGTTAAGCGTCTGCCTTCGGCTCAGGTCATGATCCCAGGGTCCTGGGATCGAGCCCCGCATCGGGCTCCCTGCTCAGCAGGAAGCCAGCTTCTCCCTCTCCCACTCCCCCTGCTTGTGTTCCTTCTCTCGCTGTGTCTCTCTCTGTCAAATAAATAAATAAAATCTTTAAAAAAAATAAAAATAAAAATAAAACTATGCTGCCTATTTGCTTCCATCCTCTGATGTCTTTTCCTTCCTTCACACCCATGGAACAATTAGAGTCAAGTGATTCATAAGCACTGCCCCTCAGAAAACTCTAAAATCCGCTTCACAGCACTGCTCCTATACTTCTTACTACATGAGAAAATGAAAAAGAAAATTCGCTTATTGAGATTAAATATATTTCAATTATCTGATATGTTTCAGCTGTAATTGATAACAAAACACAAATTGCCCATCTGAACTTCTCATTACAGCAGCTGATTCACTGGAAAATTTACTACCTGATACCAGAGAAAGCACTAAAGATAACACAGGCTCGGGGACTCTATGATCCTGTGACCCAGCGGTCTGGTTTTTAAAATCATGCATTATCCAAAGCAAATCCATTTTATTTATTTATTTATTTTTAATTTATTCATTTGAGACACAGAGATACAGAGAGAGAGAGTGCATGAACAGGGGGAGAGGCAGAGGGAGAGGGAGAAGCAGGCTTCCCGCTGAGCCAGGAGCCCGATGCGGGGCTCGGTCCCAGGACCCCGGGATCATGCCCTGAGCCGAAGGCAGACGCTTAACGACTGAGCCACCCAGGCGCCCCCAAAGCAAATGCATTTTAATCATCCTATCAAGAGCACTGGTTTTTAAACCATCTCAGTACCTGGTCTCTAAGTTGGGAGAATATTACAGGGGCGGTATACATAGGTATCAGAGGCCCTGAAATACACACCAAGGGAAAGAGGCAGCTGGTAGCAGCTGGAGAAGGGGGGACAACATGGGGAGGGGGGCTTCAACTAGTGTTTGCGGGCCCCCTGGGGCTTTGCTAAGGCCACACAGGGCAGGGAGCAGGGCATCCAGCAAAGAGGACAGACTTTCAGCAGCTCTGCGGTTGTCACCGTGTTACACACCCACTACCAGCCCCACCGACAATACCACCGTGACCTTCACCATCACCAGCCCCATCGACCCTGCACCACCACCAGCAGCAGCACTGCTAAGACAACACGAACTGTCTTCCAGACAGAGGCCAAGGAACACCACAAACTGGACTGACGCTTCCCAGAAAAGAGCCCTGGGAATGTTCACTATGCACGCGGTGGGGGTGGAGGTCAGGGCTCCGTGCCTTACACTGCACTAGAATGCTACAGGAGACCGTGCACAGCCAGTAAGGAAAAGCCTGGGGGCCAGGCCCCTCCGGGATACAGAGAGGGCACACCTATGGAGGGAACCGTCCAGAGCAGTGGCCATCTAGAACCTCCCATCTCTGAAGCAACGTCTCAGAGAAGGAGCAGTCACGGAGAGCCTTAAGAAAATGAGACCCCTCCCCCGCTCCCGAGGCTGAAGCCTCTGCTCAGATGTCAGGCACAGAGCAGGGCACTGGGCCCAAGGGAGTTCGGGCACCCACCGTTACTGCTGTTGTCATCCACCAGGATGATCTCCTTGAGCAGGTGTGGAGGCGTGCGTTCAATGGCTGAGTGGATGGAACGCAGCAGCACGGACAGCGCTTCGTTGACGAAGATGAACACGATGCTCACCTCTGGCAGGCTCTCCGGGAAGGAGAGGTTGCGGCACCTGGAAAGAAGAACAGCCAGGCTCTCAGATCTGTCAGTGACTCAGGTGGGGTCACCCCCGGGGCCGGCCCACCCCATGTCTTGGCTCCAGCTTTGCCGGAGGGCTCAGGGGTCCAGATTCTTATTTGATACGGAAGACAAGCCCTAAGTGTGCCACAGACAGGGTCACACCATTAAAACTGGTGTGGGGGCGCCTGGGTGGCTCAGTCGTTGGGCACCTGCCTTCGGCTCGGGTCATGATTCCAGGGTCCTGGGATCGAGCCCCGCATCGGGCTCCCTGCTCGGCGGGAAGCCGGCTTCTCCCTCTCCC